TGCTACCTGTCGTTCTTTTTCTCTGTGTATCTGAAGCCTGGACCTATATCGACCGCCGGCGTGGTTTTGTACAAGACTTTCACTCCTTCTGAAGTATTTATATGAACTCTGATGGTGCCCTTGTTTGCAACAGTCTTATCCTACGTTTAAGTGGCCAACAATTTCATCGTCCTAAATGGATTGATATCAGTAAATTGATTTCAGCTTCTGTTACAACTAAATATCAATCCAAGCTAGATTTATGGCTGTCGATCCACTGAAAATTATAGATGAACTTTGGCTGCACAACGCATTGAAAATGACAAGTGAAATCGCTTGCGGTTCCCAACGTCCCAATTATAAATACTGGATTTCTATAATCTCCTCACAACTCGCTGAGGCATGTCGGTCTACTCCGGGTAACCGTGTGTTTGACGTTAGGAGAAGGCTAATAGGCAATCAAATGGTACAAATTTTGTGTGAGGACCGGGAAACAGGGTGGTCGGAACCTACTACTGAGTTGGAAACAGTATCTGCATCTGGTTGGTAACTGTCATAAGCTCTTTCGACTCATCCAAGCGATTGGCAGCAAGAAGTCTGGTGTGAGTGGAACAATCTATGAAACTGACGGGACACCAATCCAAACATTCTTGATGGACAGACCAGCTAGTCTGCTGCCTCGTTTACATCAGTCAGACTGTTCTGTCCTCCATGACAAATGACAGTTGATCCACGTAACGAAACTAAAGTTCGCAAGAATCTCCAACTCTTAACGCACTACGAATAATCGGGAACAGATGAATAATTCCCCTGCGCCTTTTAAAGATGGTGACCACCTGGCTATGAGACTAACTGAGTTGTTTACAGCTGTTCGACAATTGGTATGTTCGAGCATCGTGGTTTGAGTTGATAGTTGTCCCGATTTTTAAAAAAGGTTCATGTCACCTATGTAACAGTTATCAGGAGATAAGTCTACTACTACTAATTACGTCTAAATTGTAGGCTTTCGTCGTATTTCACAGATTGCTCAAAACCTGAAAAAGATAGACTCGCGCGAAGGCTGTTTTTCTTTCTGGTCGAGAATGTATTGGTTGTATATTTTTTACCTTCCGTCAAATATTAGAATAACGCCATACTCATCGCAGACGAACAATCTATTTTTTTTGCACCAGGGTTGCCTTCGATTCGTTGGATGGGACTGTTCTAGGGGATTGACTGTTAAAGAAGAATGTGCATGAAAATTTTGTTAACATCTTGAAGGCTCTGTATACAATCACCTCAGGTAGAATGAGGGCATACAACCACCTCTCCAATCTTCCAATCAAGTTGTGGAGTTAGGTAAGGTTGTCTAATCTCACCATTCTTCTTAATCGATGATATTCTTATAAAGACATTCATTGATAACACTGCATTACTAGTATGGAGTCTCGGAAACATGTGTTCGGTCGGGTACAGTGACGATAATGTAATTGGTATCATCATTTTGAAACACGGACTTTGGCGGCTTGGATATGTAAAACGAACGTTATAAAAATTGTTCAATTTCATCAAAATCATGAATCGATTAATGCTAGATTCTATAATGACAACTATCATATGCTAACTAGTGACTAGTTTCGTGAGGGAATTCATAGAGTTCCAGTGAGAAGCTGTGACCAGTGGAGTTCAGCTGTGTTTTGTGTTAAGTAGTTACCCATTGAAGACAAAAGATTGATTCAAGCTAAATATTAACACAGTTGGATATCGGCTCAGTCAGTGGTCAATAGGTTGAGCTTTCACGCGAGTGATTGAAGGTCCTCAGTTCGATTACCGCTTGCATAGTCGTGGATGCTCACTACTGATGTGTTCCATACTAGGACGAAACGGCCGTCCAGTGCTTCCAGGTTTCCAACGGTTTTAATGAAATTCTTCATTAACTGAACGCTTATCTTAGTTTAGTAAGAAATGATTACCTAGTTATACGTTCTATTTTGTACATTTAACTTAGTTTTCAAAATAATTTTGTCAATTTTATTCAGAGATCGTAACTATTAGTGAAATTCAATATGTGCGTTTCATCTTATTCAGGACTCGTCAACTTTATGTATCATCCATCAACTCAGTTCTGATAGTTACAGCACCTGTTACTTCAAATGATATAACATGTCATTTACTTAAATACTGCGATCACATAGTCACTAGTTTGTGTAGTTGGTAGGAATTTTATCTTGTAAAGGGTTTGTTATTTCCATATTGTTGATCAATCCCCACTGGTACACGTCAATCTTGTGTAGATTGTGTTTGAATACATTTCAGTTTAGTCATCACTCTCCATCCGGCATAAGATCAAGAAACAGATCAAAAAGGAGATACCGTCAAAACAAAGATGCAAACAACGACAGATTTAAAGTCAACAGCAAGCAATCAAGATCGAGGTTAACAGAACAAGTTACAGGTCATACATGTGGAGAAATCCGAATAATTCACTTCCTCTATCTGAAGTTTGTGCTAATAATGTTGTTCGGAAGAACAATTAAAGCTCCATAAACCAAAACACCACCACAATCATCTACTCGTAAGAGATCAAACATATCAATAAATGTAGTATATGACTTATTAGTAGGACGCATTCACGATTCACGCCAGCGGGTATCGAATCCAGGACCATCATACTCATACCCAAGAGCTCAACCTATTAATAAAGACTGAGCCGGTATCTCTGTACCGACAGGTCACCACTCACTAGTTGGTATGTTTAAACTGCCTTAGATTCTTGTTATTTCACATTCTCAGCTATAACCGCTCTGTATGAACATTCTTATTATTATTTACAATTCGATCTACGTTTGAAATGATAATATCATATTCTAATGCTTTTGAGCATTACTTAAAAATAGTTTCAATATTACTGATGATTCCTTATCGACGAAAAACAGTAATCTTCACAATAGCTATCTAATGAGCTACAGGATAGAGAAGATTAGGGAATACCGGTTGGCTCGCCTATGCTCCATTGGGGGTAACAGGCTTAAGTAAGTAAGAGCGCCATATAATCTGGTTTCTAGGTGTTCTTGATTAACCAGCATGCCTGCTACACATGCACACCGCTGCGTTTTAAGAAACACGAGGATTCTCACAAGAGCCAGTATTGCGATCATCCCTGCCGCATACGGGAACGCATATGTTGTCTAGATTGGTCTGCATACAAGTGAACGTCCAAAAAGCACGCGCACGAGCAGTGGCCCCCGTTCGGACACTTATGAATCAACAAGATCCCTCCAACCAATCCGCTACCCACAATCACCAATCGGCGAGGGGGGCTTTCCTAGCTAGATCTGGCGTCCCAAATGGATTACCGAGCCACCCAGCAGTGCACTAAACAGCAGCCATTACAACCGTCCGGCCTCCAACTGCCTTGAGCTGATACAATCGACCAGAGCCCTCAGACCCCACATGGAGCTAAAGATCGAGTTTGTCCCACAAGGTCAGCCGGAACGTACAGCCTCCCATGGGGAAGATGTCATGGACTCAACCAAGCGCAAGCACTCGGCCAAGCAGGGTTAATCCCACATAAAAGGGCAAACCCGATTGGCGTCCAGGCTCCATTTATGCGCGTCACCTACTATACCCATTCAATTAGAGGACGAAGTATTTGGCTACCTTAAGAGAGTCATAGTTGCTTGAGAACTGATCGAATTTCATAGATCAACTGTGCCATGCTGCGTTACTTAACAAAGTGACAGAATATTGCTTTCAATACTTACGCTTCAAGCTTCACCACAGTATTAAGATGACTTCATGAGTTGATGTCAAAAACATATTGGTTTGGCTTGCCCTAGCTTTCTCATTCCCAAATCAAATAACACTACGAGTTGAAGTAATTGGTAGGTGAACATTTAACATATTTTCCGAACTATCGCAGTAGATTAAAACTCACAATTTTACCAGTCGATGTTTGCTTAATAATCTGTGTTTAGTCAGTCATTCTGTCCGCTACAACATAGAACTTGGTACTTACATACATCAGTTCAATTTACCATATCACATTAGCACAGAGAGATGGAACTGTCAATTCAAATCCCATACTAGTAGAATTAGTAGCGGCATTAGTGTTAATCGAAACGATTGAAGATTGAAGATATGATTCAAGGTATATAAACCAGTCAGTCAGTCAGTCAGTCAGTTGCAACGTAGAACTTCGTACGTATGTACATAAGTTCAGGTTGCCAAACCACATCAGCACAAAGACGCAAATGTCAAATCAAATCCCATAGTGATAAAGATAGTAAAGGTATTATTGGTAATGAAGAAGACTAGGGTTCGAACATATTATTCAAGAAGCATAATTCAGTGAGATAAGGTTAGAAAGAGGTGCTGACCAATCCAGAAGATTAGGATTTGAGGGAGATCAAAGAATGGATGCACTTGCGCCATTGCAAACGATTTTGAGCCATATCATTCAAGGTCTCTAACCATTGGTGACTTTCGTCTCGCGGACCCCAACCAGGTAGCTGACACCTACCAACATGACTTAGTCCACTTGTCAGTGACTTAATGGATTTGTGCCATGTTTTGGTCTGGCCGCCCCTAACTTTCTTCCAACCTCCTCCTACTCCACAAAACATAACTCGTCGAGGCAGTCGGTGGTTAGGCATATGTAACACAAGGTATATAAACCAGTGAAATAAATTTAAAAAAAAGGCGAGAATAAAAGTTATGGGAAATTCAGTAAATTAGAATTTTAGAGAAAACAAAGAATGGATGCATTTGACTATCAAAACAAATGAAATAGTTTCCCGCACTTGACTGTTTCAACTTCCTGTAATCAATCAATCTAGGCTGTGCAGTTGACTAGTCAGTCAATCCTAACGGATAATGGATATAATGAAAGACATTCATCTCACTTTTCAGAAAGATAACAAAATTTTATGAATAACCCAAGCATGTAAAAATACACCAGATATTTGGATAATAAATATATTTTTTTTACAAATATAACATATTAGTAGAGAGATCAATGTCCAATTCATATATTTTCAATTCACAATGATGACAATCAAACTGTGTGTGTTTTTTTTTTAAATGTCTATTGGAAAGGGAATAAAATCACAGACTGACTCAGTGAGTGAGTCAGTGAGAGAGTCAGTGAGAGAGTGAGATGATTCAGTAAATCACAATTTCACATTATAAACAACTAAGTAATAAAGCTGTACCAGCTTGAATCCATTGATTTTGACTATTTGAGGCGCAAGGAACACGAATAAATGTTACCAAATGTTCACGAGTATTATTTGTATAGATTGGTAAATAAATGGAATTATTTTCATCCAATTGATCTGGTTCATCCTTTGTATGAAGGGAGATAAAAATGATCAATAAAAACCAATTGCGTAATTAGTTAGTAAAATGGGCTATGAGAAGAAAACGCAAACCCGAAAATCAATAACGAGCACAATATGATAAATAATGTGAAGAAATTATGATGACCAGTTTGTGATCCTAACATTAAGACACTAGATAATAGATTATCATATTCTTGGACAAGATAATCAATCGAAGCATTAGATTAGACAGTTACATCTCTGTGCTGACGTGGTATGGTGGCAACCTGAACTGATGTACTTATTGCATTGCAGGGTTGTTGTGAAGATTGTTAAGTTTTATTTGTAACCATGAATCGATCAATGTTGTACTTATGTACGAAGTTCTGCTTTTTGTCTGTCTGTCTGTTTGTGGTGAAGAGAATGCGATTGGTGTAATAGAAACATTTATTATCTGATAACTAATTGTACCATTGATTGATTCACTGTACTCTTTGTTAATGCGTACTTTGTACACTCACTTCAAAGGATGGGTGTACTGTGCAGCAGTTCGCTCCGTCCTCCTATATGGATGCGAAACATGGCTGTTAAGAGTAGAGGACTTTCATAGGTTACTAGTATTCTGTCATCGATGTCTCCAAAGCATTGCTCGTATATCGTGAGACAACTGAGTAAGCAATGCTGTCGTTAGGAAATGGGTGCTAGGTAAGGATGGCAGATCAATAGATGAAGTGTTGAAACTTTATCAGTTGAGGTGGTTGGGGCATGTGTTACGTATGCCTAACCACCTACTGACTCGACGAGCTTTGTTTTGTGGTGTAGGAGTAGGTTAGAAGAAAGTTAAGGATGGCCAGACCAAAACATGGCAGAAATGCATGAAGTCACTGATAAGTGGACTGAGTCATGTTAGTAGATGTAGGCTACGTGGTTGGAGTCCGCGAGACGAATGTCACCAATTGTTAGAGACCTTGAACGACATGGCTCACAATCGTTTGCAATGGCGCAAGTGCATCCATTCATTGTGCTCTCTCATATCCTAATCTTCTGGAATCGTCAGCACCTCTACCTTTGTCTTTCTAACCTTATCTCACTGAATAATTACACTTCTTGAATAATATCTTCAAACTGTAGTCTTCTTCATTACCATTAATACCTCTACTATCTCTATCACTATTGGATTTGATTTGAAATTTGCGTCTCTGTGTTAATATGGTATGGCAACATGAACTTATGTACATACGTACGAAGTTCTACGTTGTAGATTTGTCTATCTTTATTCATTGGTCATTCACATCCTCCGCTGATGACCAGATCTCAAGTGTTTTGAGCATAATTTTAAGTAATTAAGAATGTCATATTGCTGCAGTAACTACACCTTGATAATTGATAAATGACATTGTTAGTTTTATTAATTAATACAAGTGAAACACTAAGCCAAGTCACTGATTCATATTCACTCACATTAATGAATAGAACTGAAAAATTCTCTCAGATATGAAGTAGGCTTCTAGATTTAGTAATTAAGCTCAAACTAGAGTGTCACATTAATCAAAAAGATATTAAAGTAGACATGAGGAGGAGTACTGAAGTTCTGTTGCTCTGTAAACAAACTGGAAATTTTACCAAACATGTAGTATGTATGTCTTAAGGAGTTGAAAAGAATCCTAGACAAGTCAGCTGCTTTCCTCAATGAACCACATGTGTCTTAGGTTAAAAAGCCCACCATTTATTTTAATAAGATCACGAACCGATCTAAGTAAGATTGTAGTGGAACACTTCTACGAAGAAAACGCGATTGGTGAAAAATAAACATTTATTATTGTACTCGTTTTGTTTAACTGTACCAAAACACTTATTTGCGCGCAACGTTCTTTTTCGCGTTGCTGCCATCTTTCATAACTTGCTGCTCGATGTAACGCCTACTTTCTCCTTCAAATAAATATTGAACCCTGTATTTATTTCTAAAATTGGTGACGGGATAGTAATAAGTATTTAGTGCTGATCATAGTCAATCTCGACTTGGTCACCATTAAAAGATAATTATCTAAAGTGTGGGAGCAAAGGACAGCTATTTCATCTAAGTATGAGATTCCTCTGACGTAAGCATCCACAACGTTCAACCTTGAGAGCGCGGACGTTTAATCTGTAGAACAACACTAAGCTCGCAAACTGTTTCACAATTGGAAGATGCTTACATTCTTACTAACGTACATGCCATTTTGCTTGGTAGCCTGCGTTTAAAGACGCAATTTTCATCAGTCACACTTTAGACTTTCGAAGAGTTAGCTTAAAACTGAAATGTATCAATATGCTGCTAGTAAATAACTCAGTAATTTCAATTAATAGTTTAACACAAAACACTGCTTACTTTTAAAATCCATTTTAATAAAACATCAGGCAATTGAATGGGACTGGGATCATTTTGATAACTTGCACTAAGTTGACCATTTCGAAAATTAGCACCTTCCAATTTTAAATTTGTAATACGTACTGGCAATGTAGATAGATTATTTCTAGTTGGCATATTCTTACGATCATTCAATTCTGACCATTGACATGATAGTTTCAATGTATCAATTGGTACATTCAATTGTCTTGCACTTTGTTGACGTAAAGCATTTAAAAATGTAGTTGGATGAAATAGATTGGCTAAATCTAAACATTGTCCATTTTTCACATTAGAGAATTGATCACTGTCTGCTTGTTTTGTTAATGTCTAATAAACATAAAGAATACAGATCGATTGAAATAAATTGAAATCATACATTCGCTGTGATCGATATTTAGTATGTTTCAAAAAGTGATCACATGACAGCTCGATTAATTTATGATTGGTTTTTGTGTCATGGATTGATTGTTATACATAACTTGATAAATATGAAACGCTAAACTGCAACTATAAATTAATGAAAATCTAGGTACTTACCTATTTGGATGAGATTCCTAACTGGGTATTATGCATTACTGTTAAGTTCACGATGTATATGTATGAATCAACGGCTGTCAATACTACCATAACTCATATCATTTATAAACATGAATTACATTTTCATATACATTGTCCAATATTCAATTGTTGAATCTTATAGACAGGAAGTTGGTCATAGTTTACTGGTATAACTGTACGGATTACTGTGATGCATATGGTAGGGAATATACAAATCGAGAACTTTAGGTTCATTTGAAGTGAAAGATGTCAGCGAGCATGAATCGACCAGTGTTAGACCAACATTGGAAACCTAGAAGCACTGGACGGCCGTTTTGTCCGAGTATGAGACTCATCAGCAGTACGCATTCACGACACCTGCATCTCAACAGGGTTTGAAACCAGGCTCCTTCGGTCGTGTACGCGAAGACCTAACCTCTGGACCATTGAGCCGGTATCTAACAGTGTTAATGTCCTACCTTGATCAATTCACGGTCTTGTGTAACCTTATACCCGATCTTCGGTAAGCACTGCTTCATACGCAAACACGATTGAACTCCACTGGTCGCCACTGCTCACTAGAACTCGGAGAAGACTCCTCACGGAATTAGTGCCTAGTGACCCAGGTAATTTGCATTATGAGGGTTGTGAGAATTGTCGAGTTAGTTTTTGGAATCATGAATCGATCAGTGTTAGGATCAGTATTAAAAACCTGGATGTCTATGACTACTGTGTTTTTCAAGTAATCTGCCAAACGTTATTCAAATTCTAATCATTCAAATTGATGAAATAATCAACATTTCAAAGCATAAAGAGAACATCCAATCTCTGTTTTTTCTGCGCTTTAGTTAGCTTTAAGTTCACTAATTATTCCCAATTAAATTGTGTGTGTGTCAATTTGACCTCATTAATATCGATCCATAGTTCCTTCCACTTCATCAAAATTAACCAATTATTGTCCTTCGAAGTTATACACAACCACATTATCAATGTGAATAATCATTTGTATAATTTACTTACACTAACAAGTGATATAATTGCACATTTCTCATTCATATTAATTATCATATACATTTGACCCAATTAATTCATTTTACACTTTGACATAATATCTATAGGTCAATCAAAAAATATCCACAAACTGATGAAATAAACTTATAACTAACTCGGAATGCATGTAAAGAGGTAAATTTTTGGTGCTTGAATAGTAATTATGAGAAATCGATAAGTGCCTTGATGCTCTTAGTTATTATGTTTTTCGCTTTTAATCATGATATATTCGTCATTAGGTATGCTTGAAGCTTGAAGCACGACCAGCGAACATTAGCTGCTTAAACTGAACTGGTTCATAGAGAAAATCTACCTAGAGGAGCCGGTAGCAGTATACATGAGATTCAGGATCTTGGGAGAGTGGGTTGAATATCAATGCGTTGGTCATCTGCTACGCTTAGGTGCTTCAGCTCATACACACATATATTGACGAATAATCACAAAGAAATATGTTATGTTCATCACTAGGTACGCTTGAAGCTATTACGAGTTCAACTTAGTCGATAAAAGCGAACGAGACAATGAACCAGCGTCCAAATAGGCTACCTTGAATCCCAAGCTGTAAAACAGAAGTCTTGGTAAGCGTAGAAAGTATATTCTACAAACACCCAGCAATCGCACAATACAATCAAGCACACAACTCTCGTTTATTTATACATCATAGAAACGTCCTTGTGAACAGTTACGAAAATAGCACACTAAAATACACAGCAGCCAATCACAGCCATGGATTTTCCTGGTGGGAAATGAAATCTCAAGGTCAACTGATCAGCCCATGCTTGCAAACGTGAAATCCAAAATAAGGCATTTATCAAGCGAGTTCTGGGGATCTAACATCCCCAACAAATCATACTTATGATGAAAACATGTCTGTAACAAGAGTGAAAACTTATACTTCTAAAGGTTAATCACAGTTCATTAAATACGATTTTGCTAGTAGTAAGGAGTGCTTTATGTTCTGTTGAGAATGAACACTCTAATACATACACATAAGTATCGGTTCTTTCAACATGACATAATTAAACTGATCAGGAGAAGAGTTATTACGCGACTTGTGCCTAGCTACAATTCTTGATGGAGGAGGGCATTCAGTTAGAAATACCTTTCAGAACTAACTCTTTAAATATCAATCCCGATCAACTTGAAAATCTAGTTTATACCATAGAGTTAGTTATTTACTGTTTTATGTAAATCAATCATAGTCCTTGTTGTGTATTACCGAGAAATAGCAAATTTAATCGACAGACATTCATATTGATTTACTTATAGGGAGTGAAGTAGTCGAACGTGTAGACCGCTTCACTTATCTTGGGAGTCTCAGTAGTGCCGATGGCCTAGTGACTGACGAAATCTCACCATGGATACAGAAAGATCGACTAGTTTTTGCCAACCTGTTTCACTTATGGCGTAGGCGAGATATCCGTTTGCTGACTAAAGGACGAGTGTACTGTGCAGTGGTTCGCTCCGTCTTACTTTAAGGCTGTGAGACATGGCCAGTGAGAGTAGAAGATATTCGTAGGTTATTGGTTTTCGATCATAGGTGTCTTCGAAGCATTGCTCGTATATCGTGGGACACCCGACTGAGCAACGCTGTTATTAGGAATCGGGTGCTAGGTAAGAATGGCAGATCAATCGATGAAGTGCTGAAACTTCACCAGTTGAGGTGGTTGGGACATGTGTTGCGTATGCCTAACCACCGACTGCCTCGTCGAGCCTTGTTTTGTAGGTTGGAAGAAAGTTAGAGGCGGCCAAACCAAAACATGGCAGAAATCCATGAAGTCATTGACGAGTGGACTTAGCCATGTCGGTAATTGTCGACTACTTGGTTGGGGTCCGCGAGATGATAATAATCGATGGTTAGAGACCTTGAATGACATGGCTCAAAATCGTTCGCATTGGCGCCAGTGCATTTATTCTTTGTGTTCTCTCAAATCCTAATCTTCTGGATTCTTCAACCCCTCTAGTTTTGACTCTCTAAACTTTTCTCACTGAATCATACTTCTTGAATAGTATCTTCTAATCCTAACCTCTCCGATTACTTCTAATTCCCTTACTACCTCTTCTACTATTGGATTTGAATTGACAATTACATCTCTGTGTGCTGATGTGCTGATGGCAACATGAACTGATGTACTTACGTACGTACAAAGTTCTACGTTGCATCTGACTGACTGACTGACTGATATTGATTTACTTGAATGTAAAATAACGATAATATAGTCAACCTCTTTAGAATTAAAATTAAACACAGAAAAAAAGATCAATTTTACATGTCCAACAACAAATTTACCGCATTACTTACTTGTACAGCATTTGCTTTATGAATTAATTCTTGTAAAAACGGAATCACTTCATTAGGTCCTTCAGGCCAATATAATAACCAAACATCCGGTGTATGTCCATGTATTAAACTATTAGCTAATTGATGCATCATTTCAGTGACTAATTGCGTACCTCTACATGCTCTTGAAAGACTAGCTAAATTAGAATGTACTTGTTGAACAAGTTGTAAAGCATTAGATAATTCTAAATGTAGAAATTCTTGAATTGGTGCACCACCTTTCCCACCTCTCGATAATTGATTCGCAATATTGATGATATAATCGTCAGATTTGGATGGTGAGAATTTATTCGGTTGATTTGTTGTTGTTCGAGACTGGGAAGAAGAAGAAAGAAAAGTAACAATACAATAATCATATTTTTGAAACCATGAATCGATCAATGTTAGATCACCATTAGAAACCTGGAAGCACTGAAACCCGGCCGTTTCGTCCTGGTATGGGACTCATCAGTGGCAGTGCGCATCCACGACTCCTGCACCCCGCAGGATTCGAACCCAGGACCTTCGGCATTGTGCGCGAACGCCTAACCATCGGACCACTGAGCCGGTATCTAACGGTGTTAATGTCTAACTTGATCAAATTCACGGAGTTGCGCAACCTCATACACAGTCTTCGGTAGGCACTGTCTACACTCGAACAGGTTGAACTTCACTGGTCGCGTCTTTCCACTAGAACTCGGAGAAGATTCTTCACGAAGCTAGTCTCTAGTGAGCACAGGCGTTCGCGCACAATACTGAAGGTTCTGGGTTCGAATCCTGAGGGGTGCAGGAGTCGTGGATGTGCACTGCTGAGGGGTCCCATACCAGGACGAAACGGCCGTCTTTCAGTGCTTCCAAGTTTCTAATGGTGGTCTAACATTGATCGATTCATGGTTTCAAAAATGTGTAACTGAACAATCTTCACAACCCCGTAATGCAAAATACAATAAGCATCCAAAAAAAAGGAAGCCGATGAACTATTTTTGTAAGCTTAAAACACTTTATTGATTTAAAAATTTATATATAAGATTGAATGATTGAGTGTTAGGCCGACGATTACTGTGATGTGTGTATGTGGAATGCTCTTAACTGACTTGTAATTGACACTGAAACTTACTAAATGTCAATGTCTATCTTCAAGTTTCCAGTTGAATCGGACCTGTTTTCAGGAGAAGACAGTGATAGTGACAGGGGATACAAAGGTAATATTAGATTTTTAACTCGTTGTAATTGTTGAAGGCGTAAAGCAATGGCTGCAATTCTACAGTTGAACAACATCTGCATCTCCGAACAGTAATCAATAAACACCAAAATTAGAATATTCAATCGAAATGTTAAGACCGTTCTACTGTATTTGGAGAAATCTTGGACAATTAACAAAGCCATCATCCAGAAGATCCAAGTATTTACTAACAGCAGTCTACGCAAAATACTTCGGATCCATTTGGCCAAACATCATCAGCAACAACCTACTGTGGGAAAGGATAAACCAGATTCCAGTGGAGGAAGAAATCAGTAAGAAGCGGTGGAAGTGGATAGGACACACCATGAGGAAAGCACTGAAGTGCGTTACAAAACAAGCTCTCACTTGTAACACTCAAGGTCAAAGAAAGAGAGGAAGGCCAAGAAACACATCGCGCTGAAAAATGGAGACAGATATGAGAAGAATGAACAAAAATTGGATAGAACTGGAAATGCAAGCCCAGAACAGAGTAGGTTGGAAAATACTGGTCGGTAGCCTTTGCTTTATTGAGGGTAATGGGAGTAAGTAAGTAATTGTTGACTCACCATTACTTACGTTTTTTTCTAGTTAAATACGATGTTTAATAGTGTTATGGTTGTTTTAATTTCAATGTGATAGATATTTTGTTCAATCTAACATTGATTTTTATTCAAAATGATATTCTTTGCATTAAAAATTAGCTAGGATTTTCCTACTATTGTCCCATTTATGTGATAATTGTTAACTAACTAACCGACATGCGTGAGCAAACCCAATCATCACATAATTAAGCGTATTCATCATTTACTATCCCGATTTATTCTCGGCGTTAAAATAAATTCACATTAACAACTTTTTTGAATTCTCATCATGCGTTGTCGAATAAATGAGATTTCAGTAGTAGCAAGCATAAATTTAGTTTAGCATTCTGCTTATTTAACAATAGAAGAGCAATTCCCATTGATATAACACTATGTATGTGTTGGATAATCTGTCTCTTAGTTGTAAAAGGATGACAATCATTGAAATAATGAAAATCATTTTAGCATATAATGAGTGCATTGTGTGGTGCGGGCTACTTATAAGTAGTATATGACGCGAGTGAAAACGTAATGTCTGGTGGCAGCAGAAGATGAAGGAAGATCAAGAAAGGGAGGAGGAGTGGGAACACAATGGAATTTGTATGAAACGCATGAATAAGTGAAATGTCAGACAATGGATTGATGATGGATTGAAGATTTGCAAATTAACCGTTTACGATATGGTTTTCCTATTTTACTGAGTAACTCTGTAATTTTCGTTGAATACAATTCGGTTGCCTTCACCTGTATTCTCCTTCACTATAATTGCACTTGTTGTCGTTCACTTACCATCTTATACTAAGAAATGATCCGAAATTCTTTTTTAAAAAAGCTTGTGTAATGCAGTACTCCAAATTATACTGGTTTATACTTTGTTTACGAGGTGTATGATGATAAATTTCATAAGAAATTGATGGTTGCTTCTGGTTTCAAACATTTAGAATTGATAGATAATCTAATGTTTGGAAATGATGTTAATTGAATATGATCAACCTTGTAAGCCTACAACAGTGTACTGTTACACTGATTAACGCCATCTTTCTCTTTTCCTGCTATAAACACTTGTTACTTACTTCTATTGACCCTAATGGAGTATAGGCTGCTGACAGGAATTCTCCAAAACCACTCTGTCCTCGGCTACCCTGTCCAATCGTTGTTCATTCTGTTCGTGTTTTTCGCCAACTTTTGGCTTAATGCACATTCTTTGGCATTCCTCTTCTCCATTTGCCTTGAGGATTCCAAGTGAAGGCTTTTCTTGTGACACAGTTGGGTTCTTTCATCAATCTGTGTCTTATTCACTTCCAGCGACTTTTTTTTCCTGATTTCTTCCTCTGCTAAAACCTAGTTTGTTCTCTACCATAGTAGGTTATTGCTGATGGTGTTCGGCCAACGGATCCTCAGTATCTTGCGTAGACAACTGTTAATAAACTCCTGTATCTTGAGGATGATGGCTTTCATGGTTCTCCAAGTTTCCGCCCCATACTGTAGAACTGTCTTGACAGCTGTATTGGAATCGTGAATCAATCAGTGTTACACCATCATTAGAAACCTGGAAGCACTGGACTGGAGGTTAAGCATTCGTGAAAGTCTTGGGTTTGGTTATGGTGCGAGAGAGTCATGGATGTGCACTGACACTGATGAGTCCCGGTACTAGAACATAACGGCTGTTCAGTGCTTTCAGGTTTTCACTGATGTTCTCACAATGATTGATTCACAGTTCCAATGCACTACAACTATCTCCATAACTCTCCATTTTTAAAAGAAAATTATTACGCAATTTCAATTTTTAAAACAAAAAAACAAACATTAGGTCAATAATTTACTTGTATTAAGTTTAAGCCTTGGTTAAGTTTCTTCCATAGTATTAAGATTGGTGCTAATTCTTTACTCCATAAACATTTATCAAATCGACGTTTTATGTCCATTGAAGGTTTTTCAAGTAATCTAAGCTGGCCAATCACACGTTTTGCTTCATTTCTTTGCATACTACTTTCAATATTAGGCGATAAATTAAAATATACTGGACGATCGTGATCAGGCAAGGCATTGATTTGAATAACATAATCCTGTAACAAGAATAATGTGAATAATAATTATTAAGTTCCAATTTATTGAAAGATTTCAGTTTGTAAATTTTTAATTGTACTCGACATTTTTCATTTAAAAAAATCTAAGATTGATCTGTTGTTACCTCGTTTTAGATTTCTAATTTCTTCAGATGTTTACTTACTTACTTACTTACTTATGCCTGTTACCTACAATGGACCATAGGCCTGTAGTGTGTAAATTTACTGCGTGTTTTAAGACTTCGTAATTAGCTCGTCTAGACAATCATTACAAAGTAGCGTCTGACGGTTTATAAATCAGAAGGTGAACACTCGTAGTGATGAATACGTTTATTTTTGAACACACCACAAAGCGAAGTGGAGAAGCAGCAAATAAAACGAATGAAGCGACGTGAATTGGAGAAGGCTGTTGAGCTAACAACTCCCAGGATTACAATACGAACGAATGAACAGGCGAAGCGCGTTGGAGCAGGCTAATGAGCCAACTCCACTTCGCTTTGTGGTGTGTTCAAAAATAAAAGTATCCAACACTTTGTGTTCACCTTCTGATTTATAAACCGTCAGACGCCATTTAGTAACGATTGTATGGACGAGCTAGTCACAAACATTAAGAACACGCTGATATCGGCCACCACAGGCCGCCGATCATTATTCTCCAACCTACTCTGTCCTAGGGTTCCTTTACTAGTTCTGTCAAATTTTTGTTCATTCTTCTCGTGTCTTTCTCTATTTCTCGGCGTAAAGTGTTTCTTGGCCTTCCACTTTTCTTTTGTCCTTGAGGGTTCCAAGTGAGGGCTTGTTTTGTGACGCAGTTCAGTGCTTTCCTCACTGTGTGTCCTATCCACTTCCACCGCTTCTTCCTCATTTCCAACTCCATTGGAATCTGGTTTGTTCTCTCCCACAGTAGGTTGTTGCTGATGATGTCTGGCCAAATGGATCGGAAATATTTTACATAGACAACTGTTTGCATCAATAATATATGATCTAATGAGCAGTCATCAATCGGTCACATTTATCGTTCGTTTAAGTAGACATCACTGGTTGACTCGAGAAAATCAACACAATATCGGCTACGTAGAATGTCCTACTAATTACTTTCGCTAATCTACCATGCAGGACATCGCTAGCCACATCCCCGTTGCTCCTCAATGTACATTTACCAATTCAGCTCCTCCTGTGGAAATAACTATTTCGGGTGTACTAACAGACAACTTAATCAACGAATGAATTAGCATCCTCCAGCATGGTTAATGAAGGGACAGATAAAAACAATATGCAGCTCCATCTCGGCACATCTGATTGACAGCATTCATAATATAAATAAATTTGGATCACTTTGAGTGATCTATCGTTTAAAACTCCATCATTTCCCAACTGAGTTCGATCTCGTCTCCTACATATAGCAAATGCCATAGGTATATGGACATTCAAACCCTAGTTTATATGTTCAAAAGAAATTCGTGACACTATTGCCTTTCTTTGGCCGGATATATATCATTAGCATTATTTTCACATCCTGTATTTGTTTGAGAAAATAGTTAACATCATACGGAATTCTTATGATGGATTCAACTGCAAAATCTTACACGAAGGACAGCTAACAGACTCTTTCGAGGTGAAGACCGGTGTGAGGCAAGGTTGCTTACTCTCACCCTTTCTGTTTCTCCTGGTGATTGACTGGATTATGAAGACGTCAACATCTGAGAGGAAGCACGGTATTCAGTGGACGGCTAGGACGCAGCTGGACGATTTGGAGTTCACAGATGACCTGGCTCTTCTATCTCACACGCAACAACAAATGCAAGAGAAGACGACCAGTGTAGCAACAGCCTCTGCAGCAGTAAGTCTCAGCATACATAAAGGAAACAGCAAAATTCTCCAATGTAACACAACATGCACCAACCAAATCACGCTTGATGGGGATGCCTTGGAGGACGTTAACACCTTCACATATCTGGGCAGCATCATCGACGACCAAGGTGGATCGGATGCAAATGTGAGGACGCGGATTGGCAAAGCAAAGGTTGCATTTTTACAATTGAAAAATATCTGCAACTCCAAAACCAAAATCAGGATTTTCAATACAAATGTCAAGACAGTTCTACTGTATGGAGCGGAAACATAGAGAACTACCAAAGACATCATCCAGAAGATACAAGTATTCATTAACAGTTGTCTACGCAAAATACTTCGGATTCGTTGGCCAGACACCATCAGCAACAACCTACTGTGGGAGAGAACAAACCAGATTCCAGTGGAGGAGGAAATCAGGAAGAAGTGGTGGAAGTGGATAGGACACACTACGAAAAGCACCTAACTGCGTCACGAGACAAGCCCTCACTTAGAACCCTCCAGGTAAAAGGAAAAGAGGAAGGCCAAAGAAAACACTACACCGATAAATAGAGAAACATATATGAGAGGAATGAACAAACATTGGACAGAACTGGAGAGGGAAGCCCAGGACAGAGTTGGTTGGAGAAAACTGGTCGGGGCGGCCTATGCTCCATTGAGGGTGACAGGCGTAAGTAAGTAAGTAAGTAAGTATTTGTTTGTAATTTTCCGCCTCTTTCCGTTCATATTTTTTCACTATTTTGATTATTTACACACTAATTATTACTTAACTGTTATGTTTTGTGATGATTATTTTTTAGTCTATTTATACCAGGTTTGACCTACTACTACTGCTCATGTTAAACTTTTGATAAAAACTTTTGTTATCGTATTTTATTATTATTCTTACCACTAACACAGTACACTTGTCATCCTACTATCAACTTGTACTTTAATTTTGTTATGGGTAGTTACGTAATCTCTATTTCATTGTGATTGGTTTAACATTTTCATGTAAATGTTCATGTATATTTAGAGTCAAGTCTGATGACTATCTAATTGAGAACAGTATTGCTCGCCTACATGTATTGTTCAAATTTTCACAATGGGTAGCTTTAATGTGTCGTACTGATATCTACTGCGGATTCATTGAGTTTGACTGTCTTGCGATTAAATATCGTCTGTCCCTTACCCTATTTCGGTTGTGAATTGTATAACTGGTTTATTGTGATCTAATTTCTTTGTGTGTAGTGTCCTGTTCGAGTATCTGATTCAATGTCAGTATAAACTCAATCACTCATTAGTCGGTGTGTATAATATGAGGACATGTATGATATCGGAACACTTCTATTATATCACTAATGTAATGAAATAATTATACTTACATTCCATATTCATACAAGTTCAATAATATAGATGAGTCGATTAGACCACAGAGAGAGAGAGAGAGTGTGTATCCGATTATGACGTAATCGGATTTAAGAAACATGCGAATTGTCATGATTTCGTAAATTAAAAAATCAAATGAAAACTGGACTAAAATAAACGCTGAATGTGTTACTACGTCTAAATAAAGACATGAAAAAGTAAGTACAGAGCTCAGAATTCCCATATTCATAAAAAAAACGTTGACCAGTGAGTGCTCCGTGGTTGAAGTCAATGTGTGATGGAATATCAAATCTGCTCAGCTTAGCTATAAGCCACATTTCTTTGTATGATGGTTAGTAATTCAACCTAACTGCTCAAACTGAAGTTAGGATCGAATCTGCAACCTATTATTAGATGGGAGACTAGTTCGATAACCTGAAAAATTCCCACTTTGTGTTACAATATAACACTAGTGGTGTTTAGAATAACTATAAATAACTGAGTAATGTACGCTAGATAAAAATAATCTCTACTTCTAAGAGGAAACGTGTATTCTGTTAGAGGAGGAAAAAATTCCTTAATAATTAATTCTGATAAGTTTTATTCATTAAATGCTCCTAGCGCTAATAAACGTAAAACATTAGACATCCAAAGGAAAAAGCTGTATAAGGTGATGAGGTTAATTTGTACAAGAGGAAGAGAAACGTGTTGATAATTGATTACATACAGTGTGGTGCGCGCTACTTATAAGTAGTATATGACGTGAGTGTAAACGTAATGTCTGGCAGCAGAAGATGGGGGAAGATCAAGAAAGGAAGAAGAGTGGGAACACAATGGGATTTGTATGAAACGCATGAACAGTGAAATGTCAGACAATGGATTGATGTTTTGCAACAGGAACAGTCCAGTTCGATATGATGGATTGATATTTTGCAAATTAAAGATTTACGATATGGTTTTCCTATTTTACCAATTAACTCTGTTATTTGAGATAAATACAATTCAGTTGCCCTCACCTGTGTTCTCCTTCACTACAGTTTCTTACTTAAATCATGAATCGGTCATGGTTTTCCTATTTTACCAATTTACTCTGTAATTTAAGATGAAGTATTGAAACTTCACCAGTTGAGGTGGTTGGGATATGTGTTACCTACGTCCGACCGCCGACTACCTCGACGAGTAATATTTTGTGGTATCGGAGTAGGTTGGAAGAAAGTTAGGGGCGGCCAAACCAAAACATGGCACAAATCCATGAAGTCATTGACTAGTGGACTGAGTCATGTTGGTAAGTGTAGACTACCTGGTTGGGGTTCACGAGATGATTACAATCAATGGTTAGAGACTCTGAGTGACATGGCTGAAAACCGTTTGTAATGGCCCAGGTCCATCCATTCTTTGAGTTCTCTCAAATTCTAACCTTCGGAGTTCCTCATCATCTTTACTTTTCATTTCACTAGATACTACTTCTTGAATAATTTCTTCGAATCGTCATCTTCTCTATTTCCAGTAATACTTCTACGATCTCTAGCGCTATCGAATTCGAACTGATAACTGCATTTCTGTGCTAATGTAGGATGGCAACCTGAACTGATGTACATACGTACGAAGTTCGACGTTGTAACTGACTGACTAATTGACTGACTATTACAGTTAACAGATGTATATAGTTTGTAGAAAACCTGTAGATTTTATTTGTAACCATGAATCGATCATTGTTAGATCACCATTAGAAACCTGGAAGCACTGGACGTCCGTTTCGTCCTGTTGTGGGACTCATCATAGGCACTGCGCATCCACGACTCCTGCACCTCGCAGGATTCGCACCTGGGACCGTCGGCCCGATGGTTAGGCGTTCGCGCACAATACCGAAGGTCCTGGGTTCGAATCCTTCGAGGTGCAGGAGTCGTGGATGCACACTGCTGATGAGTCCCATACCAGGACGAAACGGCCGTCCAGTGCTTCCAGGTTTCTAATGGTGGTCTAACATTGATCGATTCATGGTTACAAATAAAACTTAACAATCTTCACAACAACCCCGCACTTTGAATTTTAATAAGTAATGAAGTAACTGTCAGTACAAGAGACAGGATCAAGTACCAATAAGTGTGAGAATCAATCGAAATCAACACCAATCCCCACCCCCCAAAAAAAACATACAAGAAATCAATATCCAATCATGCATACTTTCAATTCCGTTGTATTCGGTAGTTTGAAATGACCAAGTTGAAGATTTCTCATTGTATCATTACTGAATATGGAAGTTAAATAAGAGTTTAATACACTTAAATCTACTGTATTATCTAAACGACCTCCGTAAATTGATTCACCAAATAAACCATAAATCCAAGACCAAATATCTTCAGTGGTTCTAGATAGTTTACCATGATTATCAATCAATAATAATCGATCGATTACATCAGCTGCTGCACAAAGATCAGCAAATGTAAACTCGTAGAACTTTGTCCATCCCTAAATAAAATGTGAAAAAAAGGTTTGAAAAGATTACTACTTTGTTAAATAATAATGTTTTTAACGAAACATTTTAATGTAAAACAACAATCTTCATAACTCGATGATAAAAAAATCATCAAATGTACCCACTGATGGACTACTAGTTTTGTGAGGAGATTCTTTCTCAGTTCTAGTGTGAAGCTCTGACCAGTGAAGTTCAACCCTATCGGGTGTAGGCAGTAACTGACTACTGAAGACGATGCGTGAGTTTGAGCTAAATCCCTAGATTTATCAGAGTTAAACATTAACATCGTTGGATGCCGGCCCAGTGGTCCAGAGGTTAGACGTTCACGAGCAAGACCGAAGTTCCTGGTTTCGATTCCCGCGAGTGGCGATAATTGTGGATGAGCACTTCTGATGAGTCCGCCCAGTGATTCCAGGTTTCTAACAGTAGTCTAACTATGATTGATTTACTATTTCAAGGTTAAACAACGATCTTCATAACTCTATAATGAAAAATAGCTTAATAATACCATTATGTGTACTGTGGGAATTAATGTTAGATCTTACGGAGTAGCGTCGATTTTTTTACAGACTAAGAACATAAATTGCACAATGGTGTCAAATAGCACAAAATTCAAGTTCAGAGGTTCCAGTTAGTCAGTGATATACAGCGTGGCACTTGGCAGTAGCTTCAAAAGATTCACATATTTAACAGGCTGCATCATTATGTAGAGTTATCCATTGTCGACTAATCACTGTGGAGAAACAGACCATATGACATTGATTACTACTGCAATTCCTAAATTGAGATCCTTAAAATCAAAGGAAAAGAGTTAGATTGAAGAACAAACTGTGCCGAGAATTAAAGGAAGATATCAGTAGAATGAATAGCAATCGGGAACAATTTGTAAAGAAAGGCCAGGACAAAGTAGATCGGAGATTGCCTGATGGCGACTTATGCTGCTCCCACAAGGCACAACACAAACATAAATGAATAAATACTAAGTCATGTTAAAAGAGTAATGAATTCAATCAAGGGCATATAATATTTACACAAATGAATACATAAATCCTATATTTTGAGCTTAAAGTATTAGTGTGATGTGTGCTACTTATACGAACGATATAAGTAGTATAACAAGGGACGTGAAAGAAGAAGTCTCACGGTCAGAAGAGGAAAACGCAAAGCAAATGGAGCAAAAAAGCAAGAAGTAAATGGAGTACCAACAGGAAGGAAAGGAAGCAACAACAGGAATGGAAGAAGGATGGAGTGTTGGAAGTCACGACTCAAAGATGGTGTGCAAATAGAGTATTCAATGTAATGTTTTCGTTTTTAACTAACTCATCAATCTGTTGGACTATCGCTCTTATTTTTAGAAAAGAAAAAAAGGCAAAATCAATCGAATGATTGTATTGTATTGTTTCATTTTTTTAATGATCAAATCGATTTTCAGATTGTTTGAAAACAATTAAATTGACTATCGATTTCTGCATTGATATCATCTCACCAGTAAATAAATTAATTAGCCTATAATGAAAAGTACATTTTTTTGAATTGTGACAGAATTAATCAAATCTCAAAAAAAAGCTGATGCTAGTTTGTAGCTTTTAAGCTATTTTTAGTAGTATGATGTTAGGTGGTTAGATGGAATTACGATGAAACTAAGATGTAAGTAAGTGCAATCTAGGAAGAATCTTTACATTTTGTGAGATATACTCAATGAATGAACTATTCAAATCACCAGTGATGACCTATTTGTAAGGATGAATAATTTATAATTGATTAGTCAATGAGTAATGATCAAGTTCATAGTTGTATGGATCCTTTGATGCTGATTGACATCTATTTATCAAGTTAGTCACTAATCTAAGTTACACATTTTTGAAACCATGAATCGATCAATGTTAGACCACCATTAGAAACCTGGGAGCACTGGACGGCCGTTTCGTCCTGGTGTGGGACACATCAGCAGTGCGCATCCACGACTCCTGCACCCCACAGGATTCGAACCCAGGACCTTCGGTATTGTAGGCGAACGCCTAACCATCGGACCACTGAGCCGGTATCTAACGGTGTTAGTGTCTAACTTGATCAATTCACGGAGTTGCGCAACCTCATACACAGTCTTCGGTAGTTACTGTCTACACCCGAACAGGTTGAACTTCACTGGTCACATTAGAACTCGGAGAAGATTCCTCACGAAACTAGTCACTAGTGAGCACAGGTAATTTGCATTACCGGGTTGTGAAGATTGTTAGGTTACACATTTTTGAAACCATGAATCGATTAATGTTAGAAACCAGTGCTTCCAGGTTTCTAATGTGTCATCATTTTCTAAGATT